ATTTGAATGCTGTTGCCACAATGATGCGGCCTACAAAGAATTCGTTAACAACGGCAACGGCAACAGCCACAACCACATTTGAGCTGTTGCAGTGGCAGCTATGCGGCTCCAGCTCTAGATCTTTCTCTGATTCTCTCGCTTTCTCGCACTGAGTGTCTGTACTATTTTTATTGCTTACCCTCTCTCTTCTGTTCCTTTTCTCTATTTCCTTCTGTCTTCCTTACTGTTTCTTTGTTACTGCCTCTCTCTTTCTCACTCTTTTCTTGTCTCGCTCTTTCTCTCTCTCTCTCTCTCTCTCTCTCTTTCTTTATATATATACATCTATCTCTCTGTTTCTCTCTAGTCCTGCCTCTCTCTCTCTCTTTTACTATCTGTTTCTCTCTCTATGCATCCATCTTTGTCTTATCCTCAGGCTCAGTAACTAATTTTCAGTTTTCACATAAGAGAGCTTAGCAAGTCTTGCCTTGTTGCTATTGCAGCTGCAACAGTTGCTACTGTCTTGCGCATTTCTGTTATAATTTGATATTGCAATACCCTGTGCAGAGCATGACATTAGTAGAGTATACCTAACACTCCGCTAAGCAATAAATTTTGTTTGACAAAGTATGACCAGCTATAAAATTGAAATATAACTGAAGTAGGGCATATTACTTTTATCTTTGTATAATAGTTATATGTATGCATATGCATATAAATGATAAAAACATCCTCGATCTTCCACATAATCCTCCTTATTTAACTCGATTCCATATATTCTATATATAAAAACATTCTGAAAGCATTCTTTTCCCTCATAATTTCACCCATTATTACGCAATCAGTACACGATTCTCTTTGCTCCGCTCAAGGCCTTCTTTGCCTCATTCCAAATTACAAGAAAGAAAAAAGTAAATAAATAAAATCCCCTCCTAAAATTCCCTTTCAGCTCGGCTTTGGCTACTGGTCTTACTTGGATTCTTATTGGAGTTTCAAATGAGTAGCGGCAGGCACAAACCGGGTGGAAGGAGAATGGGGGGAGGGTAGGGGTACGCTTGTGCCTTTCATTTGTTCAGCTTGCTGTTGTTGTTGTTGTTGTTCTTGTTTAGAGTGTTTATCATTAACGCGTCGCATATGATTGTTATTATTATTATTATTGTTGTTGCTGCTGTTGTTGTTGTTGTTGCTGTGCTTTGCATAACTTGAAAACTACTTGAAGTGAAAAATAAAACAGAGCAGAACAGAGCAGAGACAGAGCAGCGAACCCAAAAGAACAGAGTCAGAACAGGGCAGAGGCAGTGGCAGAGGCAGAGGCAGAGCAGAGGGGCCCAGACAAATAGCAAATAATCTGATAACTCGTTTTGTACCTGCAAGAGACAGCAGAGAGACCCCCAGCTTCCAGCTAGCGAGACTATCGCCCCAGCTCCAAAGGGAAAGTCTTCAATGGAGCGCAGAGCAGGCGAGGAATATGGAATATATCTTGCCCAACGACGACGACGACGACGACGACTGCGAGTCTTGAGGTTGAGGTTGAGGTTGAGGCCGTGGCAGTGCCCTAAAGTCTGCGCTGCATATGGCACACACACATATGCACACCTGTATTTGCATACGTGTGTGTGTGTGTGTGTGTGTGTGTATGTGTGCGTGTGGTTTTGTTTGTGTGTATATTTTAAAGTTGAGGTCCAAGCCGGCAAGTGCTTATCCAAGTGGCTGTGGCAATCCTTTAGGCAGTTGTTGTTGTTGCTGTTGTTGTTGTTGTTGCGCTTAAGTGGAACGTGGTTTGCATTGTGCGCGCTGTCAAAATGACGCTCGTCGAGGCTCGAGCCTCGAGCTCGACTTTGCAGCGCATGCGCAACGGACGTTCCATTTGTATTGCTGTTGCTGCTGCTGCTCGTGGTCTGCCGCTGCCTCTGCCTCTGCCTCTGCCTTGGCCTTTGCTTTTGCCTCTGCTTCTGGCTCTGGCTCTGGCTCTGTTTCTGGCGCGCGATAATAATCTCAACTGCGGGCCGCGCTTTGCTCATATATATATATATATTTTTTTTTTTACTCTGTCGCCCCTTCCTCTGCCGCTCTGCCTCGTTCCCAATTCTGTTCAGAGCTGCGCGTATTTCGGTAGCTGCCGCGTAAATTACCTGCATGCGGACAGGTAAACACAGTCACACAAACACACACACCAGCACACACACACACGTACGTACGCTTGTACAAACAATCAGTCGAGAGTATCCGACTCACGCGTCTCTCGCGTGTTTCGTCTTTCAAGAGAAGTATCAAGTCACAAATGATATATGTACATTTATATACACATGATTTTCTTTTATCATAATACGAACTGTTCCTAGTACAAGGAACTGAAAAATATGGAATGACATGTCTTCTATGAAGCGTGCATATGTGGAGAAAGATAGGATGTTCCTGGACCTAGCTAGCTGTAGTATTATTTTCTTCTTCTTCTTCTGTCCCGTGAAGAACTATTTTATTTTCTTCCTTTTCCTCTCTATTATTTTTCTTTCTTATTACTAAGTGTTGAATCCATGCCATTCAGTTTTAGTATCTTAACAATACAATTGATGAAATGTAATAAAGTAAAGACTTAAGCCTGCAAGCCTAAGAAAAAGTATTGAGTATATCAAGTTCCTCTTCTGAATCGAGTTTGGGTTTCATACTACACCCAATTTATTGTTTAAAACTCTTCAGCTAGCTGAACTTCATTACCTTTAGCTAGATATAACGATCTGACTTAGCATGTTTTCCCTCTTTAAACTTTATTCCTATTAAATTTAAGATCGCGAAACTTTCGAATCTCTCGGCTTTACTAATATTCTCCTATATTCGCAGGAGCTTTAAGAATTCCATTTCATTCAGTATTTCACATCAGAGCAAAGGACTATGTCTATAAGGGAACTTGGGCTACTCATTATTTATTTATAATAATAAAATTGAGTACTTCTAGCTATTCAGATTCTCTACAAACTCCCGTGTCAACTTCTCATTTGCTTAGTTTCTCTCGGTGTATGCCGCCGATTGCTGCTCATTTGTCTGGACCGGCTCAGACGCAAGCGTTGCGCACTTTTGGAGCACTTCAGCTGCCAACGGGCTTGAATTGTTTTGTGGTGTTCGACTTGACGAACCGTTGTGCGTTGGGGAAAGCAGCGTTCCCTTCTAGCTGCTTGTTCTTCTCGAAGACTCTTGTGAGCATGTGCAAAAGGATAGCAAGCAAACACACAAACGCACACACACACACACACACACACACATGCATAGAAACAAAGTGAGCTTAAGCTGTAGCTGGGGATTGCCCGTGTCTTGGCGTGGACCGCGTGTCGTCTTTGCAGATTATGTTGGCTACTGCTGCAGCCGCATCTTCTCTCTCCCTCTCTCTCGTGCGCTCCCTCTCGCCCGCTGAGCTGCTCTCGTAGCCCCTGCCTTGGCCTTGTTCGTTGTTGTTAAACAAGCGAAACGTTGTGCCCGATAATCATCTACATTTGGGGCTCTGGGAGCACAGTTTAGCGTAGTGCGAACAGATGCTGCTAAAGGAGAACAAGTAAAAGTGCTTCAATGCGAGCATGCTCAACTAGCACATATTCTATAAAAAGCTAACAACAAATGGATAAATGGGTAATATTCAGGATCTCTGCTAGCTATCAACTATAAAATGACTTCACATCCAGAACCTTCTCTCTTATGTAGGCACAGCCTCTAATTAGAGAGCATCAAAGTGAAAGGTATTCCTAAAGAGCATCTATAGTCAGAGACTCTTCTCGATTTTGAATGTCCATTCGATATTTCTCATATGATTTACCTTCATATTGACTCTTGCTGATCAGGATTAGATGTGTGGCCTTGAGACTGCACTGAGTTACCTTCGAGCTTGTTCATGCCTATGGCTGTAGGCAAGCTACCCCGTTCATTCAATTGGCTGTGTAGGGTATAGTTAACAAAAGTTTCTTTGCGCACGAACTGAAACCAAATCCTGTTGCAACTCTTCACTCTTCACTATTCAGAAAAGCAAAGTTCCTGGCATTGAGCTGGCTTTTCGTTAGGGGCCAGCCTTTCCGCAGAAGCAACAGAACAAGAACAACAAGGTTCGACACCCGCCTGCTGTGCACAACAAAACACAAACAGGCTGGTTGCTGGTTGTTGTTGTTGCTGGTTGCTGTTGCTGGTTGGCAATCATCAATCACTGGCAAATACTTCACGCCATTCACTAAAATTCTGCGTATCCTGGCGTGCCTTATCACGCAATGGACGCCTTTGTGTCCTTTCTATCCCACTTGGTATTGAAAAAGTCATTAAGGATGCGCAACAGCCATTTGAATGTCTTTCCAGACGGGATACTCGAGGCACTCGAGCGTAACAATGAAGATGTGAAAATGCACGCTTTCCCTGATTGCCAGCACGCACACACACACACACACAGGCAGACATACACTCACTCGCACACAGTCATAAAATATCACGTAAAGCAGGCGCAGGCGCAGGCGCATAGACCCAGCGACGCCGTCGTACATACCCTATTGTCCTCGCTCAAGTGGCCCGCCTTCGATTCCGTTTTGTGGCTAAATGAATTCCTGGAAAACTTACTCAAAACAGATCTCTGTGTGTCTGCTTCTTCTACTTCTTGGCAGGTGATTGATATTGATCCCTTCTGGCTGCCCACAACCGAGGAGGAACTGATGCACTTTGGCGAGAAGGCCGACTCAGCGAATCGAGCGAAGCTCTATATGGACAGTGTCCGCAGGCGCAAAGGACTCTTTGTGGACGAGAAGGTGGTGGAGCATGCCGAGAAACAACGCACGCTCTCCAAGAATAAATAAACGCAAAGAGAAGCCCGCAGGTAAGTTGTTAATCTTTGATTAGCTTTAATCTCTCAGTAGTTGAGCTCCTCAATGTGCGCTAGTCCTATTCCAGCTGAGATCCGAAATATTCTCTAAGCTGCCTTCTGGCTGCAATGGACGTGTACCCAAAACCAAACAGTCTACGCTCCGTTTAAAAATAGAAAATTTCTTGTCTTTTATTAGCTGAAAATAGAAAATTGCTTGTCTTTTATTAGCTTAAAACGCAGATCGTAGTTGAGCTCATTGAGTTTCCTGATGCGCATTGTTTTCCGCATTCTTATCCCTGATCAGTCCGCTCTCGTTCTCCTTCACCTGGGGCACATCCAGTGAGCTGCCGCCCAGCACAAGGTGAATGCAGCTGCGAAAGCAAAGCGTAAATAGAAGTCAATCAGTCGATCGATGGGCTTCACTTACAGCACTAGCAGAAAGACCAGCAGTTGGGTGCCTATGGTTAGAAGGAAGATGCCGTCTCCGTGACTTGATTGGAGCGTCGCCCGATAGATCTGGGCGTAGCAAACGCCGCTGATGAAGGGCACAGCATTGTCGCAAACGGAGAGCAGAGCAAAGACCTTGCCACGCTCCGACTGTGGCACTATTTTGGACGCCATCGAGCGTATCATTGGTCCGACTACAGGGCCCAGGCTGCAGACACCGGCGCCGACATACAACAACGTCGGACCAGGCGCAAAGTAATAGAACAAACGGGCAATGGCATGCGCCCAGGTGCCGATGAAGATGATGGTCTGAAAGGCGACTCAATTGAGCTGGCTGTTGGCAGCAGGAGGCGGGCATCACTCACCGTATCCCGCCAGCCGAGAAACTTGTTCATCAGCGGCACGCCCAAAAGCATGGCAATGACAAAGGCAGCGGACTTGAAGGTCTTAAAGGTGCTGTAGGAGCTGACCTGCCAATCGAACTTGCCAAACGTATACATATAAAAGTAGTTGCCCTCGTCGCGCTGGAAGGTGTAGAGCGCCATGCTGATGAGCAGGATGTAGAGGAAGCTGCGTCTGTGGCCATGTCGCGGCTTGGTGAGCACCGTTATGGAGTCCTTGACATGCTGTTGATCAAAGTAGTCGCCCCAAAAGCCACAGCAGCCCAATTCTCGCAGCGACCGCTGATTGGGCGTCGTTTGCCACTGCACGAGGAAGGAGAGGAGAGAAGCAGAGGATGCCAGGGGAGCCTCACAACGAGCAGCTGGAACTCACCTTAAGGGCTATCAGCGTATAGACGATGGCGAGCAGCAGCAGCGATGCATTCACTGCGAACATGTCCGCATACGACTCATTGAATACGTTGTAGAAGAGGTATGAGCCGAGGGCCACGCCAGTCGGCATTGCAGTCAAATAGACTGCGTCCAATATGGTCACCCTAATGGTGCGCTGCTGCAACGTCGTTATGTCGGAGATATACGCAAAGCAGGAGGCAAATATGGCTACATCGGCGCCGGTTATGGCTGACGGCAACGTTGCCGTATAGATTATGTACTCCACCGGCCAGGTGGACATCTTGGCATTGACCACAATCATCGTGGAATAGATGAACTTTCCGACCAGACCCATCAGCAGGGGCAGTTTGCGACCGCGACGATCCGAGAAGGAGCCTAGAAATAATGCCAAAATAATGGGAAAAACATGCGCCGAGATGTTCTCCCACTGATGGAACGAAGCTGTGGTGTCCAGTACCTGTTTCTTATAGTCCTCGTTCTCTTTCTTATGGATATTTGTACAGATGTCGTCGCTCAGATTGTTATTGACACGACAAGCCTTTTGCAGAAAGAAGTTCTGCTCCACCACGGAGGTGATCATAAAGGCAAACATATATAGAAACATGGTTGGCTCCACCGAAATATTTCTGATGATGCTCATCAGCCGATGGCAGAGACTGCATCGCTGCGGCATAACGGCGCTGCCATTACTGACGCTGCTTGACCCCGAGCTGCTGGAAATGCTAGTGCGTCCAGCATTTTCTGCGTAGCCCTAAAAATAGGCAACAGTTGTGCAAATGTATTATTAAAAGAGAGGGAGGTGGGGGAAAAAGCTTTAGATTGAATAAGAGCGCTCGCTGTTATTGTGTTCTGCTGTTATGTTAAGTGCAGCACTGCAGCTTAGCAGAGAGCAACGGCTGTTTGTATACGCGCGCATGTGTATATGTGTGTGTGTGTGTGTACGCGAGCGAGCCATCCGATTCAGCGCTTTGCTAAAGAGCGCTTGCGAGAGCTTTTTTCGTTAAACTTGAGAAATTAGTCGAAGGGCTGTCATACAAATAACGTAACTAGACTAAATTATATTTGAGAAGCAAATAAAAGAATTATTAGCTTGGTATATGCGCATACATACATACATATGTATGTATGTATATCTATGTAAACATGTAAAGTGGAATTATATTATATTTTATATAATAATATGTTTTGTAGATTACATTATTTAACTAGGATTATTTGACCATTTCATGCAAGAAAATATGCATATAAATGTATGTACATACATATGTACATATATACAAAATATACATATTTATCTGTTCTCTTTTTTCAATGTGAAATTGATAATAATTAATTAGTATTCTTGGTTTCACAACATTTAAGGTGCCCCTCGCATCAAGCATGACGCTATTAATATAAAGCCACATACACACATACATACGCTTCAATTGATTATACGTACAAATACAGACACAACCCGTATGGTATGAATGAGCTTTTTCGTAGCAGATGTTACGACGCTCAGTGGACTCTTTGCTAGCGTCGCGACGCGGGTCTCAGCGTACGCAATCACATAACTGCACACGCGGAAATTTTTATTTGTATTTTTGTTTACGTATAGACTTGCATCTGGCTTGTAAACTTCACTTGTAAATTTAGCAACACACAATAATAACGAAACGCGCAAAACCCAACAACAACTCGCTTAACACGGAGCGAGCGGACTTACCTCATCGGCGCTCATTTCGGCTAAGCGAAGTTTAGTGCTTTGTGAGCAGCTCTCAGCAGCGTGCCGCGCGTTTTTGTTGGTTTGCTCTAAGGGAAAATCTGTTGTTTCTTCCATTTAACGCAGCAAGCATAAAAGCTTTTGCAATTTTCTCGCTTAAGCTTCTCTGCAGAAGCTTTTCGAGCCGTTAGTAATTTGAATTGTCAATAGACAGAGATTATTGTTGTGCACTTATCGGGGTTTTCTCTTCATTTAATTATCTTAATTAAACAACAGTGAAGTGTTTACTATTTATATTCACATTGTTCAAAGCTGGTCCAGTAAAATGATTGTGGCTAACGCACGTTTACCCTGTTGTATTAGCTTTATTGTTTAGCTTATCTAAGCCATAATTTTCTTTTCTTTTCATTGCTTTTAACGCGTTATCCGGCTGGGTCAATTTCGTCTGGACGATAAGCTAAGTAGCTAAATCATTGATAAAGTCACAGAAATTTAGGATACCATAAATGCTAACAGTATCTTTATGATAACGATAGCTGCTTCCTGGGCAATACCTGAGATTTCACCAATAGCGCTAAGCTATAACTGAGATTTTTGCTGTAACAGTCGGTCATATAATGCCGTAATAGCTGTATAATCCGACACTATTTAATGGCTGGTATACATACATAGATTATAATCGTATATAGATTATAAGCGAAACACTTCACGCTAAACCGGTTACAGGTGTTTTTTTTTTTAGTTTCAATTTAATATATATGAAGTATAGGTATATTTGTATAATTTGATTTGCAGCGTTACGATTATATAATGTGGCAAAGATTTCCGGCTAGATTTTCGATGTTATTGTAACTGCCAAGTAGTGTAGCTGGTAAGACTTTTAAGTGCAGGGTATTTTAAACTTCGGGTTGCCGTTTATATGTGAATTCACTTATTGATTTGTTAAATAGATTTCGTGACATTGCATTTCATTCGTTGTTTACAAATTTCGAGTATTCCACACATTCCGCTCTACTAAAACGCTCTCAACCGAATGCGAATAGGTGAAGCTAGAGAATGGGTCTTATAATCTTTATACTCGACTTATCAGTCAGCGTTGCACTCATACTATTAACAACATTAATATTTATATATACAAATACATATATAAATATACAAATATATAAATACATCTACGTCTATGTTTATGCTTGGTTTGGTAAACGGATCGCAGTTTGTTATTCGACTTTTCAAATTTGCAAGCTTCAGCAGCTGAAATTAGAGTATTTTTAGTCTAGGTTGTGTTGATGGAAACTTAATACTATGACTTTAATCAAACAAATACTGGATGAGATGGTATTATTTTCCTATATACCTATACTTACATTACTTATATGGTTTCTTTATAATTCTTAGCTTATTAAGATAGGAGGTGTCGCGTCCATTAGCGTTTCTTTATCTTTAAATTTGATCTCTTTAAACAAAAAGAGCAATCAGTCATGAGAGATAACATAACCCCACACGAACATATACATACATACATATGCATACTTATACACAGTAGAAGTCGAATCGAGCAACTGCAACTTATTGAATAGCAACATGAGCTTTGAGCATTACAGACCTGATTCTTAACAGAAACATTGACTCTGTTAACAGTGGGCCTAGCATAACAGAAATGCTGCTAAAAGTCATACCGGACTAAAATGCGGTTGCGACTGCGCTGTTAACTCATGGAAAAAAAAGTAGTAGAAAAGCGTATTGAAAGTCTTAAACCACCGGCAGAAGAATTTAATACTTAACACTTTTTGAAGTCTAGCATTAAATTAATAAATTCATCTGTTCTTATACTTCCAGTAGCATCATCAAAAAGGCGTAAGGACATTAGCCAGTTGCCCGACAACAGTTAACATACCTCCCACATTTTGGAAAATAAAATTGATATATTTTTGTAATATAGTTTTTAGAAAAATTAAATAAATAAACATATAATTGCCGGTTAGCTTATAAACCTGGCAAACATTGAATTACTCGATTGACCGTGTTTGCATTTATTGGTTGAATTAATTACATAGCATACTTTCGTGAGCTCAATGACAATTTCGAGCTGTTAAATTATGTAGCATACTTCTGGGCGGCTGTAATTATTAATAATTGGAATGCTTGTAGTGTAGCATACTTTTGTGCGGCAGCCGAAAACATTCGGCGTACACTAATTATCGTAGCATACTTTCGGGCATATGTACAAAATTTAGTGAGATGCCAAAACGTTGTTTTTAGGGTGGACCCAAAAAGTGCACAATTATCAAAGCTAAAAATTCACATTTCGTGGCTACATTCAGCAGATTGGTTTTCAATACACTTATATGTTGGGGTGGACCCAAAAAATTCTATTTAAATGCCGTTTTGGTGGATGCGTTCAACAAGTTTACAAAGCCGAATATGTTCAACAGAGCAAAATTGTGAAAAACTTTTTTTTTATTTTTTTTTTTTATAGTTGTTGAAGCCATACGGGGTTTATCAATAACCCCTTTGTGAGCTTATTATCTGTTCATTCATTAGGGCGCGCCGGCAACTTACGTTGCTGTCGT